CAGTCTTGAAGGCTGTTTTAGCATAAGTTTACTGTGTCTAGCACCTCTAGAGTTTATCCATTTCTCCTTTTTTTATGCATTATATTTGGGAGGATTCTGAGTTTTTATCCCAACAAAAGGAACTATATATATGGATCCTCTCTAGCCAGTGTGTCTGCATTTTTATTACTCAAAACTCCTTTGTGTCCTGGTACCTAACCATAATCAGGCTGTTGTGTTTACCCAGGTTTTGGACATTTTGGATGCATTCACTAATTTTGATGTGATTTTTTTAAAATGCTAATGCTTTAATAGCTGCTTGGTTATCCTATCTTATGAGGGTTTTATCTCGCAACAGCAGAGGTCACGTCAACCCTCAGGGTGCCGGTGTTGTTGAAAAAAGAATGCAGGGCCGCTGGATTCGAACCCGGGACCTCTACCTTACCGTAGTGCCTTCTCTACGCTAAACCTTTGCGGCCACCGACGCCCCCGAAGGTAAACTTCAATAAAATGAAAATATCTCTAAAAACAAAAATCTTAAAAAATAAATATAAATTGATGACATCAGTTGAACTTAGACCCGGAAATGTCAGATTAGATAAAATTATAAAACAATCCAAGGTATGTAAAAAAATCTTGCTTCGTTATTAAAAGTCTAAATTAAAGCTAAAATACTGTTTTAATATTTGATTACTATGTATTTTTTAAAGTTAATCTTATTTAATCTAATTGTTAAACAGGCTTGAAAAAGATAAGCAAATTTGATCAAAATATAATTTTTATTTCCTTTATGTATTGGATCTTTTGAACAAAGTAAAACAATTAGTCAACAACTAAAAAATGTTTTTTTTTTCAGGATGGCAATAACTTTTCTTTACAGATTGAGTGGTCTTGACATGATTTATAAAATTTACAATGACATTTATTTAGAAATCGTGAGATGCGGTCTGGTGTGATGTAGGTTTCAGAAAAACATTTTCTTTATCGTGCCAACGTTTCGATCTTTATTGAGATCATCTTCAGGGCCTGGGATTTACAAACAAGACCGTATTTCACGATTTCTAAATAAATATCGATTAACGGTCACTAATCACCACACATTTTTACAATGACAATTACGTTACATTTGACCTACAAGAAACAAGATAGGTTAATGACAGTCACCTGAATAATTTGTAAAATGGACGAAAGGTAGTTCATAATATATTAGTATATCACCAACAATATTTCATAATTAGCATAAAAAAACTAGTAGAACCATAACAGATTCGATAGTTTAACCGCGGTCAAAGTTTCAAAGGCTAAACACCGAAGAAATTATTATTTTATCTAACATACTTTTAACACAGATAATAATTATTTTTAACAAACTGCTTACAATATAAAGATCTTATGAAAGCAAAACACTGAAGATCGCGTAGCAATAAAACGCGTCTGATAGGTAAAACGAGCGAGAGTATGCGGGCCTGGATGGCATAAGAACAATTGGGATCGAGGCAATTCGTGACTTCGCGAAACTTTCCGCAATATTTGACATAGTAACACTTTCTTGGTTTTAACTCGATGATAATTTTTATATTTTGATGTTCAATTGATGTGTCACTTGTTGGGTTTTTTTAAAACTAGAATGAAGTCAAACTGCTGACAAAATGGAAAAGAAATTTGGTTTAATGCATTTTTATGTCCTGGGCTAGGTTAATTATAAATATTTGAAGGTAGGATTTTTTGTGCGTCTATTCTAGCCGAAACATAGTGAAAATGAGCAACGTTTTGGTTCCTAAGTTCATAAATAAAAGGTCAATGCGAAAATACCTGCCCTGATGACCCGAACGTGATGCGGCTCAGTGCCTCATACTTAAAATGATGCTAATACCATAAAGTTAACAGTAAAACAATATTTTTGTCTTGTCGAGGATGTTAAAAACTTCGCTGTATCACTCGTCTGAGAATAGTTGAACTTTTGCCTGCTGATTCGACAAGATCGGACGGATCAGTAAGTTCAAAAACAAACACACTGCAGAAAACATTGATAACAAATTTGCCAAGTCATTCTTTTTCTGTTAAAGCAATTTGTAAGGAATAACCAATTTAAAATCTTGTAAAGAAAAAAAAAATTATTGGTTCGAACTTATTGGCGATTTATAAAGCATGTTGTTTGCTTGGTCCTGCGGGTCGTTGATCAATCAGGACGATCAAGGACGATCTATCAGGAGGATTAATAGGAAATAACTACAAAACTGTTTATAAGATAAGAATATTACATTTTTTGTTCATAAGATTTTGATAATTAGAGCTTTGACACGATCAAGGCTTATTCGTTAATGTTTTAATAATGCATTTATAAGAGCTTAATTCAAGCTTAAAGCTTCACTGTTTTGTTGGTCTGATGATGAACTTCTTTCTTACAAGATCAACCCTATCAAGTTCATCAAGGACGATCAATCTGCAGAAAAATTGTTCCAACCAATAAAATTTAGCGTTCACCGAACGATTCCGTAGGAGTTAGGAAAGAACTTAAGAGGATATTATTTATTTTAATTTATTGGGAATTTTTTTAACCTTTGCCGTTTCATTGGTTTGAGAGGTTTGACTTCTCTCGTTCAAGATGAGGTTATGGATGACTATCATCAGAAAAATTGATCGTAAAAAGGTCTGTGTTTTTATTTTTCATTTCTACAGCCATGGACACGCTTAATTACCAATATACAAAAAGTTGTGTGAAATGCCAGGTATTTAAAATTAAGGGCTTATCAGCACAAAACTTTGCTTAAGTAATCAGAAGAAGTGGTTTTTTTAATTGGAATTTTTGTTGGTTTCAGAGGTGTTGGCTTCTCGCATTGAAGGACAAGCAATCAGAGAAAAATTGACCGGAAATAACGTAAATTTGTTTTTATCATGTCCGCACATATATTTAAATAAATAAAAAGAATTATGTTTTAGCTTAATAGCTTAAATTTAACAATTTAACCGTACGTTGAACCTGGCTTAAAAGATTAAACCAGAATAACGTACCGTGTTCTTAAAATTATTTGAATATCAGCAGAAAAACTTCCTTAAGTAAAAAATAAATTAAACTGAATATTATTGATTTTAATTTATTGGGGATAGTGAAAGTTTTGGTGTTTTGATGGTTTCAGAATTGTTGACATTTCTCGTTCAAGATTAGGCCAAACAGGATTATCAAGGACAAATATGTCCTTTTTTTCTTTGCTTTCATGGACACACAAAACGTTTTAGCTTAATAAAAATTGATTCTATAATCGTGATAAAATACCTGGCTTAATGGATTATAACAGATAAACGGCTAAATGCCTAGTTCTTATAATTTTGGGCTTATCAGAACAAACCTTTCAAACGGTAGAAGTTTGAAAAAAAAAACGAAGAGAAAATATTGATCAAAGTTTGTTGTTGACTTCTCCGGTACAAGATCAGGGCCAAACAGGATTCTAAAGGTTATCCTTGGATACCGCCACCGTGAGAAAATACGAGGTTTACTGGATTAAAACAGATAAACGACTTAGTTCCAAGATCTTAAAATGCGTAGAATATCAGCAAATATTTTCCGCTAATAAACCGTAGAAGGTTGCAAAGAGCTTGGGACAATATTTTGAATTTTAATTTATTGGGAATTTTTTAAAGTTTTGCTGTTTCGGTGGTTTGTGAAGAGTTTCTCTCGTTCAAGATCAGGCCGAACAGAATGATTATGGACGACTAATCAGCGAAAAATGGATCGGAAAAAGTTTAAAACTGTTTTTTTTTTAACTTTATTCTTGGAGCCATAAGCACACTTAATTACAGATTTATAAAAAATTGTGTTAAATATCCGTATTTAAAAGTAATCCGAAGAAGCTTTTTTATTGGGGACTTCTCGCTTGCAAGATCAGGCCAAACAGGTTGATGAAAGAATCATCCAGCACAAAATTGATCGGAAATAACGTAAATTTATTTTTGTTTTGGTCAGGGTCACACACAAATTTAAATAAATAAATAATATATTCTACTTTAGCTTATTAACTAAACTTTAACACCTTCACCGAACACTAAAACTTGCTTAAAGGATTGAACCTGACAAGTATCAGGTACTTAAAATTACGTTTACATCAGCACAAAACTTATTTTAAGTAAAAAAGAAAAAAAAACATTAGGGAATATTATTAAATTCGATTTATTAAGAATTTTTAAAGCTTTGCTGTTTCGTTGGTTTGAAAGGTTTTGATTTCTCTCAGGCCAAACAGGATGATCAAGGACGAACAATCAAGAGAAAAATTGATCGAAAATAATGAAAATTTATTTTTATTTTGGTCAGGGTCGCGTATAAATTTGAATAAACAGAAATGTCTTCCGTTTTAGCTTAATAATCTTGCCTAAAGGATCAAACCGGATAATAATCCGGCACTTCAAATTATTTTGACATCAGTTCAAAACTTTTCTTGAGTTAAAAAAACTCATAAATTAAATTTATGCTGAAATTTAAAACCTTCATTGTACAAAACGCTTCATGGATTAAACCGGAATAAACGGATAAGTACGTGGAACTAAAAATTATGATAATAAAAACACAATACTTTCATAAAATAATTATATGAAGTCTGCCCAAAAACCAAACGATATTAATGATTTTAACAGTGAAATCGTGACAAAACCTGTCTGTTTTGAACCAAGTTTATTTATGAAATTATTTTGTTTGTGCATTGAATTACAAATCAAATTATATTTTTAACTTTGCGTTTTGCCGAGATTTAAGTTAATTTCATGTTTGAATTTTAAGGACAATCCTTTTATAATGCGTATGTCAGAATATTAGGTAACAATGAATCATTGTTTGCCCTGCATTATTAAGGGGCAAGACTTTTTTCGATCTTCACTGTTCAAAACTGTTTAAATAACAAGCCTGATTATTCTAAAACGAGGCATTTGGTCAGTTAAATGTTTCGGGATTTTAAATCTCAAGTAGACCTGTTAGAGGAATTTATTGCTTAAAAAATAATGATCATGATATAAATTGAGTAAAGATTATTTACCTCAAGTGACATTTTAGCGGTTGTATTCCAAATTATATTTAAATCTTGGTTTTTCACTTAATTGTCGACAGTCACACACAATCGAGGCAAATCAACAGGCGACACTCCGGTGCACAGAACTCGGATTTTCAATTTTTAAAAAAAGAGCCCCAGTCGGACGACTTCGAAACGGAGTCTGCGTGTTCAATGAAGCGTTGACGGATACTGAACCCGCGGGGACAAGGCACCGAGAATTCCAGAGAGGTTCGGTACCCCTCGGGACCCGTCGGCAACTCCCGTACAATCGGTATGTTTTATTTTTTCTGTCCGCGATGTTTTTATTGCATCACGGCTTATTGGATCATAAACGATCATATACACAAAGCCGACAGTTTTTTCCCTTCGCACAATATTACAATAATCAAATCTTTGGAACAAATTCAATTTAAAAAGAAAAAATTTACTGTTATTGACAAAACTTGAATTTGTTAATTTTTTGTTCAATATTTTTATTTTTACCCAGTGTTTTCCAAGAGAGAAAAGGAGAGAAAGAGAGAGAGAGAGAGAGAGAGAGAAGGAGAGAGAGAGAGATGAGATAGAGAAAGAAAGAGAGAGAGAGAGAGGTTGATTTATTTGATTTGATATACGATTTATTTTTACAAATCTCGCAGAGCTATTTTTGTTGAGAATTTTNGAGAAAGAGAGAGAGAGAGAGAGAGAGAGAGAGAGAGAGAGAGAGAGAGAGAGAGAGAGAGAGACAGAGGAGAGAGAGAGAAAAAGAGAGAGAGAGGAGAGAGAGAGAAAAAGAGAGAGAGAAAAAGAGAGAGAGAGAAGAGAGAGAGAGAGAAAGAGAGAGAGATGAAAGAGAAGGAGAGAAAAAAAGGAGAGAGAGTCAACATTTTTGATTTATCTCAAACCTGATGGTTTCGTAAATATAAAATTATTTTTTTGAAGATTCGTCACTAATTTAATCTGAAGATATACAGAGTATTATTCTGAACGTTGAAGTTTGTATTTTTACGAATAAAAAATTAAGTAATAGACATTACTGTTGGCAAAGAAAAATAGAACATCGGTTATGAACCTTGAAAGTTCCAGGCAATTACGAAAAACACGACTGGTAAAACCGCCAAATGCACCACTACCGTTGCTTTCGGCGCTTTACACGCGCAAAAATATATTAAATCAATCAGCCTCGTCAATCGGCCATTATTATTCAATCATTGATATATATGAAATGTTTTTCGGATAGTAGACCTTTTCTGAAAGCTAAATGTGTCTTATTATAATTTTTTAAAAAATTCATTTTGTAAACCGTTTTTAAAGCAAATTTGCTTGGGTAGCGTTACAAATTATGCGAATATTTTAAACACTAGAAAATTAAAATCACGCTGTTAAATAAACCTTTTGAATGCTAGAGTACTTTTCAGAGACAGTAAATTATGTAATGGACAATTTTCGAAGCAAAGAGTTGTAAGTTACTGGTTTTATGACATCTGAAACACTGAAGGGTTCCAGAGAATTAAGAATTTTTAAGAAGTTCAACACACACGACAGAAATATCAATGTTCAATCTTTCAGTTGATTTAGTTCGATTTTTTCATTATTTTAAAGATGTGTGGTGATTAGTGACTGTTAATCAATATTTATTTAGAAATCGTGAGATGCGGTCTGGTGTGATGTAGGTTTCAGAAAAACATTTTCTTTATCGTGCCAATGTTTCGATCTTTATTGAGATCATCTTCAGGGCCTGGGATTTACAAACATTATTTACATATAACAATTACATTTTGGATGTGGAAAAGTGAATTTGAATGCAAAATATATTTGTACATATTTGTTGATTCTGTTTGTAAATCCCAGGCCCTGAAGATGATCTCAATAAAGATCGAAACGTTGGCACGATAAAGAAAATGTTTTTCTTAAACCTACATCACACCAGACCGCATCTCACGATTTCTAAATAAATTTTAAAGATGTTTTATGCATGTAAAATTCAAGTAATAATTTGTAAAAATACATATCAACTCTTAATAATTTGATTTTCTTTCCTATTGATAATTCGAAAGTCTTGATAATTTTAATTATTTTTTTGGTTCCTTTGGTTTCGAATTATTACGAGTTGACGGAATTGGCAAATATTTTGCAACATTGAAAAATAAGGAAGAAACTCACGGAATTAACTAAGTGGGAACACAAACTACCTTGAAGAAGGTTCTTTTTAACAGGATATTGACGTCAATTACAATAAATTTAACAAAACTTCATTTTGGGCAAAACAAAAATCCAATTTGTTGTTGGAAACAGGGCACAGATCGTTATCGTTTTTATTCTTCTTATTCCAGAGTTTCTATTCAAAACGAGAAAGGAAGAATAGGAAAGTCCTGAGATTTTTCGAACACTTCAACTCCGGAAATGCCAAATTAAAGTTATCCACTAACAAACTCACATCCTGCCTCTTTTTATCGTCAGCAAACGTTGATGGCTGTATTTCTATTTGCACGAATATCTTTATGGCAGACTGTCATCAAATCCTGCATGGGATTTGATAAGTTAATGAGAAATAACACCAACAAAATGGGAGAACTTTTTAAAATCAAAATTTATCAAATGACAATAGTTTACAAAACCTGGGCAATATGCCATAATTTCATATTTTTACATACTCTTCACAATAATATAAAATGATTTTAATGTAAATTTTCTGACGACTCGTCGTCGTTCGCGCCTGATATAATTGCGATACAGTTTTGCCGAACCTGACTGTGTTGCTGGTTTAGTATGTCAGAGCGCCGTTTTCGTAAACGGATAAAAAAGCCGCCAATAATTAATAAAAAGGTTTTCTCAAAATTAAACATCTCTGGTCAGTCTATTCTTGCTCTTTTTTTGTCAATTTATTTGAATGATTATGATCAATGATCAAATGATTTTTTGGTTTAACAATTTCTTTGGAAATATCTAGTAAACAGTTGTTCCGCTGCTATATAAAATTGATTTTTTGCAATATTATTTAGATTAGTGGGCCTGGATCTGCTTCTAATTTCGAGACAGTGATATATCAGCCGATACTAGCCAAGAAAGTTTTCTATGTGTGTCTTACAATCAACTTTTGCGACATAATGTAAAGCAATGATAGCGTAAATTTAGGACATGGGGTGAACAAAGATAGATCCCTGTATAGAACAAGTATAAAATTGTTATTATAATTTATTTCAAACGTAAAAATGCATTTCCGAACCCTCGAAAAGCTTACAATATGCCTCACGCGTAATAATAAGTTTTTTTCACAATTGTTAAAATACATAGACCATCGTTATTTTGTTAAATCGTGTTTGATGCTATGTATTAATTATTTCAAATAAAGCCATGAATATTTTGAAATTCTAGAAAATTTAATCATATCAATGTTTAACCCGTCATACTGCACATACCACGCTATCATTAATTTCAGAGATATCAGTAAGTATGAAACACTTGTTCATTTAAATTTTTCCTAAAACATTACAAAAACATCAAAAAAGATTTTTTTGAGAAATATTTACATGTTGTTTGTTGTTTATCAAACGTTTCTATTCAAATATAGAAAGCAAGGCTTAAGTTTTTCCTAACACCGTGATAAATTACTAATTAATTAATCAAAGTTATCCACTAAAAAACATTTATAACATACTGCTGATTATATTCAGCAAAGGTTAATTATACGAATATGTTTAAGACAGAAATCCATGTTAAAACTATTCAAGCATAAAGAAAGATGTTTTTAATCATAATACAATTTGCTTTTGTTAAGCGCTTAACACTATGATTTATTATGGATCATTTGTTTACTCATCGAAATATTCAAAACGGAAATGAGAAGGAGGTTTTTAAGGTTAAGGACTTCGGACGCCGGAAGTTCCAAAGTGTTCCCGACTAAAATTTACCTCATACGCTGTGCCCTGGCTAATCTTCAGCATATATTGCCTTTAAAAAAAAAAAAATACTTTTTTTTAAATATCTTGGCTCAACGTAACTTTTTAGCATCGTTGAATGTAATATCGGCCTTCATGATAAATATTGAAATAAAAAGATCAGGTATGAAGTCACGTAGTTGAGAAAAAAACACTTGTTTTTCTGCTGTCGAGTTTTCGGCTTTATTTAACGCCTTCCCCCGGACATTGAAAAATTATTTAAAAAACTTAACAATCAATTCGGACATAAAACTGAACCTGGCGAATATCGTTTTATCATGAATCCCTTTTATTTGATTACTTTACTGTATTCAAATATTTTGATTTTTTTAATAAAAACTAAATATCTTCTACAATAATAAACTAATAGGAGCACTGTAAGACATTGGGAAAACGAAGAATTTATTCCAAGACAGAGGCATGCGAAAAATACTTTAAACATGCAACTAAAGCTGGGAGGAAAGTTTCGTAAAGGATTGGTCGCGAATGTTCGCGATTGTCCAAAGGAGTCTTCATCCTGCAACCGACCTAAAAAATAAAAAGCTCCGGTAAATAAACCATCACTGTAAGAAAGACTACAAAGTGAAAAAGGGAAAACTTAGCAAAAATCAAACTTTTTAAATCAGATCCTAGTGGTTTTCTATAATAGATCAAACACCTAAGAAAAGGCAAAACGTTCTTAAACCGTTAGACAGTCAGTGATATCTTCAACATTTATGTTAGTATTGCATACTGTATTGGCAAATACTTTGGGGCCTTAGAAAATAAAGAAGAAACTCGATGAATTAATTATGCGGGAAAACAAACTACCAAGAAGAAATTTCATTTTGAACAAGATATTGACGTCAATCACAGTAAATTTAACAAAACACCACTTTGGGTAAAACAAAATATCCAATTTGCTTTAAAATTAATGAATACACACACAGACAACAGATCGTTATCGCTTTTGTTCTTTTTATTCCATAGTTTCTATTCAAAAGTGGAATGGAAGGGTAGGAAGTCATGAGATTTTCGGACACTTGAACTCTGGAAATTGTAAAGACCAAATATTCAAAAAAAAAAAAAATCCCATTTCACCAATTTAAATAAACAAAATTGTCAGAGGCGCATTCCAATCGCTCCCATGATCCATCGGGTTCCCTATCGATATAGCGTTGCAAGAAAATAAAAACAAAATGGCATTCCAAGTTGGGAGCTCCATGAAAATACTTGCTACCATCCGGTGAGTCAATTCCCTTTTTTTCTGTGAAAAGAAAATCATTTCCCTTTCCATCTTCGGGGAGTGCGCCCGCTCCTTTCATTAAAAAAATAGATAAATTTTTGGTTAATAAAATTATTAAAATAGGTTTTAAAAGAGCTTTATATATTTTATTCATG